ACTTGGTGGTTATTTTCTTAGATCTCTTTTAGGTTAGGTTTATGGACTCTTTTGGTCCCGTTAATGAAGTCCCTTGAGTCAATGTCGTTTTTGGAGCCTAGAGTTGCCCCTATCAGTGTTATTTGGGACCTAGAGTCCTAAAGTTGCTATCTTGGAAGTCTTAATTGGTTCATACAAGAGTTAGGAGCAATTTCATGGAAGTAGAGTGCCATTTTTGGAGTTTGGGCTTATGTGGGGCATGCAAAGTCACCAAGCCAGTGAATTTTTGGGTTTAGACGTGATTTGGGACTCAGATATGTAGCTTGGACTTATTTCTTAAAGCATTAAGTGTTGAATGGAAAAGTGGGTTTAATAGGGACATACGTTCGACGTAGAAGCCAGTACGCGCAACGTACAAGCCATTATGCGAGTACGTACAGTGTACCGTTGAGTACACCCTGCATACTCTGTCTAAGTGGGTTTGCATATTTGGGCTTTGGTTTGGGATGTCTTCTTGGGCCGATTGTTGGTGTATGTTTGGGCCATATAAGAAAGGGTGTTTTTGACTAGAGGAAAGTTAAGGGCTTTAGGGTAAGGACCAAGCAAGGTTTTGGGCCTAATTTGGAAGATTGGGCCATTAGTGGACTTTTTGGTTTTGGGCTTGGTAGGCCTGATTAGTTGGTGCATCTATGGGTCATAGTGGTGGGTGTAGCCTTGTATAGCCTTTGATTATAATGTTGGGTTTTCTTAGCCTAGTTCAGGAGTCAGTGCGCAACAGCAATGTCAGTGTAGGGTTTCTCGCATAGCAGTTTAGGTGAGTCTTCTCACTATACATACCTGAGTGGTAATACTGAGTGACCGGAGGGTCTTATTTGAGTTATCGACCAAATGGTCCTATGTGCTTATATTGAGTTATGTGATATTATGCATTTTTTCTTTGTGATATATGCTATATTTTTTTGTGCTTTACTAAGATAGGACCGGAGGGTACAACCCGAGCTGTGAGACTGGAGGGTCCTCACAGAGATACATGATTGGAGGGTCCAACCCGAGCTGTGAGACCGGAGGGTAATCACTAAGATACAGGACTGGAGAGTCCAACTCGAGCTGTGAGATCGGAGGGTCCTTACCGAGACACATGACCGGAGGGTCCACACCGAGTTGTGAGATCGGAGGGTCCTCATCGAGACGCATAACCGGAGGGTCCATGTCGAGCTATAGCCATGAGAGGCTTATTATTTGTGTATGCGCTATTTTGGGGAACTTACTAAGCTTCGTGCTTACCGTGTTGTGTGATATGTGTTTCAGGTATTTTTCAGGATCGCGGGAAGGCGCCGGCTTGATTGTACACACCAGTTAGAGAGCATGATTTCGAGGATTCTAGGATTTTATCAAAAATTGTTGACTTGTGTTTTTACAACTTATAGCTTTTGTGGTTTTTGAGAAATGTAATAATGAGTTTATGTGATCTTAAAAATGAAAAATTAATTTGAAAATATACTGTGTTACATCAAACTTGCTTAATGATTTCTTGGATCTCTTCTTTATCACTTTTATTGAGTTTTTCATCTAAATACATTGATCCTTGGGAAATTGACGTCTCAAGTGAGTATACTTCAAGATTTGGAACTGTGACATCCCTAAAATCAAGGCCATAAAAGACTGGTTTTGTTTATACTTTATTTCAAAATCAGAGTAACCTTTTAATAAAAGAGTTGCGAACTTTGTCCCAAAACAATAATATGATAAATATTTCTCAAAAGCATTTCCTTATAAATATATTTCATTAAAAGACTCGGGATGTCATGTTCGATACAACACATAAGTATAAACAATACAACATAGGCCTTACTACATTATTCCGTATTTACAGGCCTAAAATCCATTAATCTCTCATCCCAAGACATCACATCTATGCTCATGCGCTACTACATATAATACAAGAAACATAGTGGGTCAGGCTTGGAAGCCTAGTAAGCACATTGGGTTTTCAACCCACAATAAATAAGTTTATTAACTTTATCAAACCAAACAAACCCGATTACCCGTTCCCGTTATCCTCACTTTACGTCCCTAAGACATCTAACACAAGGGACCTAGTCTAAGGACTATCATCGGGATGGACATTACTGCTAAGGGGATTCCTTAGCAATAAATGTCCTTAAGGCAACCATGTGGGGGATGGAGTACACCTGATGAGCACACAGTTCAAATAAACACATAGTTCAAATAAACACCTACAAGTTGCGAGCCTGCTAGCATTCCACTGGACTGTCTAGAATAGTCTGTGGTCATCATCTATACTCCGCTAGATGACTAGATCATCAATAACATCTATAACGAGGCCTCTCATTATTTTATTTTGTCACACAACAACTATTACATCTACCCATGTTTTACCCAACACATTTTGTAGATATAAAATACATATACAATTTAAATCATTTAAAACTTGTATAAAATCGTTCATCCATCATAAATAGCAAGTGTTCAGATAATATGCACACATAGCACGTAATTTATATAAAATACTTCATATCTATATGTAAGCTGAAAGTAACTATGCAATCACCCGAAAGGTGGTGACTCAGCACTCGAACAGTGCTTCGATACTCTCAAAACAATTCTCCTTCGATAAAACCTAGTATCAATACCACTAGGGTTTAGTCTAACGTCAACCGCGACTAATTAATAGTCTAGCTATTATTATTATTATTATTATTATTATTATTATTATTATTATTATTATTATTATATAAGCTTGAAATAACACTCAATATAACTCATAATAATAGCCCAAATAATTATTTTAAGGACCTAATAACATTACTATAATTATTTGAAATATATATTAAACATTGCTTAAGTGTAGCTCACTTACAGCGGATTTTAAAGAAAACCGAAACTTTATTTGGAGCAGCGTTTCGAAACCGAAAGATCCTTTTTCTCGGGACTCCGGGAGCCTCGGGGCTTCTTAGGGTGCTAAGGGATCACTCAGGCTTAGGGGAGGGTTAAAACCCTTAGAGAGAGAAAGAAATTTAGAGAGAGAAAGAAATTGGTGTGAAAATGAAGACTGCCTCAGCCCCCTTATATAGCCGCGAGGCCTCGGGGTACGCCAGGCGTACTTCAGACCTACATTGGGCGTAAGGGTTCGGTTGTACAGCACGTGTCGCTTCGTTGGTGGTGTATCGTGGCATGCTCCAGATCCGCGCAACCGAAGACCGTTGGGCGTAATCCTCCTTTCGATGCGGGGCGTTCCTTTCGTACGTGAGGCGTAACGAGGCCAGATGTCCGAATCCGAAGACCAGACCGTGACCAGCAAGCTACGGCCCTGATCGAGCCACGTCATCACCCTCCCACCAGCTTCGCAAATTCGAGTTACAACTTCAAAAATTCGTATCTTCTTCATACGAGCTACGTTAAATGATTTATTAGAAGTACATTTTTATATTAATGCTTATATCTAACACAAACAAATAAAATAAAACTCTTTCATATTCAATAAGTTAATTTCTTTTTCTAAATATTTGAACAGAAATATTAAACTATGTAAAATAATTATTTTAGTTTTATGTATTTATAATAAAAAAAAATAACATGAAAGTCGACCTAATTCTTTAATAAAAATAGAAAATTTTATACAACAGTCCTACTTATTTATAAAATAAATATTGTTTTGAGAAAATTGTAAATTTAGTGATTGTGGTGGTTTGTTGGTTTCTTTGGTTTCAGTCATTCCTCTAAAAAGACAAATTAACTTCACATGAGGGCACATAAGTTGTGTCAACGAATAGGAGATAATTGGTAGCCTGGAAATCGTGTCGTGTTCGGGTTGGCGTGTTGCGGGTTGGAGGGTCAAAATATGCCAACCCAAACACGACCCATTTAAATATATAGGTCACGGGTTGGTGGGTTTGGAACATAAACCCATATATGACCCGCCAACCCATTTATTTATACGGGCTCACAGGTTGACGGGTTCGTGGGTTCAAATTTTAGACATTTAAGTATTAAACATCCAAATAAAAATTAAAATCATTTATAGAAACATGCTACGGACTTAGCCTTATAGGTTACAACTTACGACCTTAGACCATCCACTACGAGTCAAAATGTCAAAACAGTCAAATGATCTATGAATCAGTGGTATATATTATATAATACTTATTAAATATTTATAGTTGATACATAAATACATTTAAAAATAAAATAATTTTTTTATTAAGAATATAAACGGGTTGGCGGGTCAACCCATTTATTTTTTTAGAAACCCATATATGATCCCTTTAATAAACGGGTTGACGGGTTGACGGGTTAGCAGGTTGGCGGATTGAAAAACTCAACCCAAACCCATTTATTTCGTGTCGTGTCGCGGATCGTATCGCATGCCGTGTCAAGAATTACCAACCCTAATAAGTGGGGTTTATATCCAAGGACCAAATCCAAAACAAAATCTGCTGTAATGAAATTTATATTTTTGAAACTAAAACCATAGAAATCTTCAAACCATAAGGAACAAATTTGCAGTTTTTTCTTTAGCTAAAAGTAAAAATCTTAAGTCTTACAATGTTTTCACACTAAATTTGGAGTAATTATACCTCTTAGACCAAATTTATAAAAATACTAATGTTATGCTTAGTTTTTTGTTTATACAAAGTATGAAGTGAAAACAAAAATAAATAAAAAAAAATAAAAAAATTGGTACGGGAGATACGGAGTGGTCGAGTGGAAAAAAAGAGTATATATATATATATATATATATATATATATATATATATATATATATATATATATATATATATATATATATATATCAACTAGGGTATAAATCCCACATCGGTTAATGGGTGGAAAGTGGCACTTGGTGTGCCTTATAAAAGAGTCTAAAGTCTCACTTAAACTTTTAACCTATTTTTTAATTACACCTTACCAACTTTCTAGTTTCTTCGATTTTATTTACCTAAATATCTATATTTCAAGTGAGTAGGTTAATCCCTCTAGCCGCCACCTAGTCACTGACCATGGTTATGAAAAATGTCCCCGTCTCTTACCCCGGCAGTGCTTCCGTCCCCGGCGGTGCTAGCATGATGAAGCTGACTAAAGGCCGGCAAAAGATTGAGATGAAGAAAATAGAAGAAATCAACAGCCGCCAAGTCGCATTCTCTAAACGACGAATTGGACTTTTCAAGAAAGCATCGGAGATCTGCGTCTTGACTGAAGCCCAAATCGCCATCCTCGTTAGTTCCCCCGGTGGTCGTCTCTTTGCATTTGGCCACCCCAACCCCGACGTCCTGTTTGACTGCTACCCTAACAATAACAACAAAGAGTACTCCACCACCAACAATATCACCGGAGCGGACACGGCAGCCACCCAGAACTCTACACCACCGCTGCCCATGGTTAATTTCAATCAACATTACATTGAGGTTTTAAGGGAGTTGGAGGCTGAGAAGAAGCGGGGAGAGACGATTCCAGTGAGCAGCGAAGGATCATGTTGGTTCGACGAGCCTGTTGATGGGCTGGATGTGGAGGAGGTTCGACAATATCTTTGTTCGTTGGATGAGTTGAAGAAGAAGGTTTTGACGAGAGCTGATGAACTGACGATGATCAACAACTCTTCTGCTGCATTCGTTGGTTCGAGCAACAACTTTCAGCTGGTGGATATTCCTTCAAACACCGGAGTTGACGGTGGTTTAAACTTCCAGTACGGTGGAGATTTTGGGAACCTTTAGATACATGCATTGTGGTATTCTTTTAATCAATTGTTATATATCTCGTAAATATTCAGGGTCGATCAATTGTTAGATATGGTGAAACTCGTCATGAATTAGATTTTTGAATTCTTAAGCGATTGATGATTTTGTTGATGTTATAAATATTCGGGGTTTAAATAATTGTTAATATGCTAAAATATCTCAACTAGATTCTTGAAGTATTGCATGCAGCATGCGCTTATATAATTTACCATGCATCACCTTCTCATTCATATGCTATATTAAGAAAATGCAACCATTGATTTTTCCGATTATATATCGTTGTTGGAGTTGTCTAGTAATTAAAAAAATCCAATCAAATACTATCAATCGTCAAATCTTTAGTTATCATCATACAACGAATAAGAAAACAAACGGCCAACAAGTTGCGTCGTTAAGCTCTTTTGTATGATAAAATCAATTTTTTTTGAACACTACATTCATAGATCTAGGAGATATAACATTGCTATGCATGATCCGTTGTAGTCTACTAAGAAACTCCACCACATCCAACGCAAGGAAACCAAACGTATCAAATGCAAATGATATGAACGCGTGTTGATTTTTCATGTACGGTTTCTCATGTTTGGTGACCTTGCATATAGCAGCTTTTAATGCAGTCTGTCCCGCCGTAAAACCCCGGCCCCCAAGCTTACGAGAGGGGATACTCCTGTAAGGTCCACACATGCGTGTTTCCCTCAAACCCATCCAAAAATCAAAACGTCAGTCGGTCTAAGGGTTGACTTTCCTTCTGTCGGGTCAGTCAGAAAATTCACAGGAGCATCTTACTTGGCGGAAACCCCGACACGCTTACATATGCCGACCAAAACATCTCTAATCATATCGTGCCTGTATTTGAACCACAAAAATTCTTTACAATAAACTGCATGCTCGCCAAGAATATTTGAGGGAAAAAAAAATATTGATCTCAATCTTTCGCCGTCGGGGAGTACTTTTGTCAAAATCATGGTGGTGATGTATCGTCAAGTCGACCAAGATTTCAACCCTAAAATTTCGTAATATATTTAATTCTGATTAAACCTTTAATTAAGAAGTTCGTTAGTTTGTTGTAAGTAATTAATTATTGCATATCACCAAAATATTTTCCAAATTAAGAAATGATTCTATAAAACGAGTAAAACCAATAACTTCTTTTAGATTGACTCTTACGAATTTATCGAACTTGAGGCCATTTCCTAATTTTGTGTAGTTTATACCAAATATTGTATAAATTGATTAGGCATACTATAAATAAATCCGGTTTGATTGCTAGAATTATCTACAAGTAAAATTCATGTTTTTAGTTACAAATTCAATTATGTAGGTTATCTATTTTAACTGGTATCATATTTGGTTGTGGGATTTACATCTAAGGCTAATTGATAGTTGCTCAGTAAATTAGATTTAATTAAGTCATTGATTAGGTCTAAAGCTCTAATTGAATATGCTTTTGATTGAAACATATTGTTTTATTAAACCTTTGACTAAGTGTGTTAAATGTTAAATAAGACCATTTTACCTTTATGTTCTATAATTATATCATAATTATTTTAAAATGGTTTGAATCTTGGTTGCTATTAACATAAAAACACACGTATATCTTTCATATTTTTGAAACTTGGTTGCTATTTTTGCAATACTCATTCTCATGTTAAAAAATATATTTTTGTTGCTTGAAATGAAAAAAAATTAAAACTTTGTTATTTGTCTGTACTTTATAAACTTGGTGGCTATTTTCTTCAATAATCTTCCTATCTTTTTATGCTTTTAGTTTAACAATTCATTGGAAATCTCTCCTGATCAGTCAAGATAACAACTTGCTACCACCGTTCACTTAGTTGCTTCTACTGATCAATAAATTTCTCATCTAAAAGCCCATATCATTGGTTATAATTTGATATTATATTTATTTGATTTGGACTTAAAAAAATTATAGTTGTACAGCAACATCAAATACATGTTGTCAAGCTACAATTGTATGAAAAACTATGGTGGTATCCCATTGCAATTGAATGAAAAACCATAGGGGTAGCCCATGATTGCAACACCATAAATTTTTCTTCAAATTTTCATAAAATACTAATGTATTAAAAACATTTGGATGTTAACCCACATTAAAAAAACCGATCACACAAAAACATTTATAAATTTAAAATATTGGGTGTTACCATTAAACATTAATACAACCATAGAAAGTAAATAAAAATTACATAATTGCAATTAACAAGGAACTTAACAATTTCCATTCCGTTCTTTATCACTTGATTTCTAACTTCCATCTATCATCCTCTCTCCTTAAGTGTAACCTGAGATACATGACATTAAAAAGAGATACATAAGACAATAATGTCTCGTGACCTACGCGGTTTTATGACCCAAAACATTTATCACATTTTCATCAAAAACATCTCATTTTTGCAAAACATATATTTTTAAGCAATTTCAAGGAAAACTCGTTTCACGCATATGTTAAATATTATTCCGTATATTATTAGGGGCAAGATCCTCAACCATATTTAGGATCTCAGATCTTCAAGATCTCTCAGGATCTTGAACCCTTCTCAGGATCTTAACCATTGTTAACACTCTTAACGGTCACATTTCTATTTCTTTTTCTCACATGTGTAGAAATGGTCAATATGAGACTCATCCTCAACGAAGAACTACTTCAATCAGGCTTACGACCCGGGAATACCAAGTCAAATAATGTGCATATGTTGATTCAAGAGCATCTCAGAAATATCAGACTTATTGTTATTTAGTCGAGACTATAGATACACTTGTAATACACACACTACAAACACGATTAGCTCTATTACTATATTTGTACTCATATTATCTTCATTATTTCTTTAATCTCACATTCAAATCAATAAAAATAACAAGGAAGGTGATCATTATCACCTCCTAAGGTATTATTTCGGAGATCCTATAAAGGATCAATGCTTTCCTTGTAACTCACTTGTCTCACTTTGATCAATATTTGACATTTTTGTTACTTCAAATACTACAACCTCTTTATACAATTTGGTTAAACATTACTTGATCAAATTTTGACCAAAACTTATATTACCATTTCATTTCAAAATATATTTTTCCATATTTCATTTAATATTAAAACATTTCGTGAGTCATAACATTATTCAAGACATTTCTTTTCACATTCCATTCCTTATTTCATTAAGGGATAATTCCGGTGTTGAATCGTTGCCATTTTTATATTTACAAATTAAAAATATCCCCAAGTCTATACCAATGTGGAAAAAACGAAATCAGTCCACCAAGACATCATTTCCATTAGGACATCTATCTTGGTAGGGGGGGGGGGGGACACTACCTGGATAGATTTCTCTATAGCCCGTTACGGGGATATCATGGGTCGAGTAATATTCTTTTTATTACTTTTCAATTCTTTAAATTATATTCATTACTTTCCATTCTTTTCAATACTTTCCATTCTTTTCATTACTTTCCATGCTTTAGATAATTCATACTTTAGTATCAAAATAGCCGTTTCAACATCTATATTTCAAAACATATTAAACACGTTAACAAAACATTCGTTCTTTCAAAACTTTCTTTTATTTCAAAAACATTCTTGCGTTCTAGGCGTTCTTTCAAAAAATTCTTTCCAAAAACATTTATCACTTTCATTCAAAACTTTTCATATATATCAAAGCATTAGTATTTCATTATCATATATAAAATATTTTTTTCATGTATCCTAAAGTAGGAAAAATGCCAACACGTACTCACCTTAATCAAACAAAGATTAGCTAGTCCTCTTCTAGCTCTTTTCTTTAGAACGTTCCTCTTCAAATACTACCTAAACCACATATGGACATAAGTCATTAAAATGACCAAAAATACCATCAAAGGTTCCATTGATAAATTTTATTACTTCATACTATTCCTCATGAAAAAATATGAACGTAGGCAAAAATCGTGCATAAATCCGAGTCTTTATGCAAAAGTTATGAGAAGAACAACATTTCCCAAACATGAGTTTCCACACAGGACGTATGGAATTTCACACGGGTTGTGTGGAATGGTCTGTATTCCCAAAAAGTGCAATTTTTCTCATAATAACATCCCACTTTGCATAGATCTTGAAGACTGTAAAATCCTTATTTTCACGGCTAGAAAAGACCGATCTATTTATGCTTTATTTTGAAAATCAGAGTAACCTCTTAAACAAAAGTGTTTCGGAATTTGTTCCCAGAAAAACATGATAAATCCGTTAACAAATCATTTCCGAAGAAATGTATTTTATTAATTTTAAAACATTGGGATGTTATCGTCAATACAGAAACATAAGCATAAACAGACCTTACATTTGTTATCACTAGTAATTTATGTCTCATTAATCTCTCAGTGTAATGTAACTTCATATCAACACCTGTGATACAATTAAACTGAGTAGGCCATGTTGAGAAACCTGGTGAGTACATAGGGTTTTCAACCCACAATAATATAATTATTATGTTTAAACATCAAACAATTAACCCAATTACCCATCCCCATTATATTCTTTACTCTTAAGGATCTACCCTAAGAATCGGCTATTCCTCGTTCATTTGTTCTTAAGGATTATCCTAAAGAATAGGAAGAATTCCATCTTCGCCAAGGTTTATACAACAGACACTAAGTCCATAGTCGCCAGGGTTTATACAATAGACACTAAGTCCATAGTCGCCAGGGTTTAGTCACTAAGTCCATAGTCGTCATGGTTATACAATTGGTACTAAGTCTATAGTCACCAATGTTTACTTATATCCTCTTTCATCCCTCCTAATTCATCTACTCATGTTTTACCTAACATATTCGTAGATATAAAATAAATATACAGTTTAAATCACTTAAAACATGTATAAAATTATTCATCCAACATAGATCTCAAATAAACAGATAATATGAACACATAGTACGTAATTTATATAAAATACTTCATATTTATGTGTAAGATGAAAGTAACTATG